AGATTCTTGTGGGACACCATAGATGAACAACCTAGATATTAAACAGTAGTTTTCCAGCATCACCTTCTGGATACATTCCAACTGAAAGGAATGAAACCACAGCAAAACAGTTCACCTAAGGTCATCTCTGATAGACAACCAGAAGAATACCATGGCTGATAAAAGGCCATCATGGCTGATAGTACTGAAAGCCACCATGAGGTTTCGAAGAACTAACAGGGTTACATTTTCTCTATCTGGTTTCTAGCATAGATGATTCACTAAGGCAAGGGCTTCCATAGCATCATGAATAGATGAACCAAATTTTTTTTTGAAATGCAGTAGAAAACCCTTCAGGCACATGGGTTTGACTTTTAACCAACCCTACAGAGGTTTATAACAGATGCCAGTCCAAGACTTAGAAAATGTTTATGATACCAGAGTTATAGAGAGCTTGCCCTCTAGCTAAACAGAATACCTAATTCAGGGTATCCACCTTGCTGTGTGTGGGACAAAATACCAGTCAGTGCAAGTCCATGATTCTTGTGAGAAATGTGACATCTTAAACCACTCTTGACAGGCCAAGCTCAGAATGAGCTTTTAAGTCCAAAAGGACAAGGTTGGGTAGTCTACCTATCACCATTCTGACTAGCTCAGGAAGACAGATAATTGTGTAATGAGTGAATTGTACACGAAGGGAATCTTTATTTTGTCCCAGCCACAGTAATATTTAAAATTAATACATCAAATGGCGTGCCATTTTTTCCCATCCGCCAGTCCTAGGATGCGGTGAACAAGGCACATCAACATACTCCCCTCTCAGTCAGATCTCTGTAATGCACACCAAGTCAGCACTTTCATCCAGGAATAAACTCTGTATAACAGATGTTTTTCACCAGCAACTGATCTGACACTGAAAAACCAAACTTTCGTGCTGTGTGACTCACTTTCACTGTCACCTTGATTTCCCTGACAACCAACAGTCAGACTGCAGACAGTTTGTGTGGAAGTGTCATCAACTAAGCATTCTTCTTCAAAACAGTTGATAGGTATTAAAATAAATGAAATAAAATAAACGTTAAAAAGCTCTTAATTTATACTCAAAAAAATCCTTGGCCTTAAGGAGGATCTCTCTCTCTCTCTCTCTGTCTGAGGAAAGCAGCAGATACAGTTTTAGATGAGCAACGAATGCCTAAAATAGACGATCTCTTTTGTATTTTAGCTTGGGTAGGCAATACTTCATATAATACCCTACAAAATAATGTAATTTCAAAGCAAAAGATGAATTAAATGCTGTAGCCTCTAAACCTAGAATAGATATCTTCCTTCAATTGCTACCACGAATCCTTTTATTGTAAAGGATCTAGAGGCATGCACCACTGCATTATGTTGCAGGAGAAAGCATGGCCAAATATTTGCATTTGCTGCAGCAAGACAATGCTGGATCTGTTTTTGGCAATGGCAAAAGCCATATCAGAAATCAAGATTTCAGGAGCATTTTCCTGCGTGAGCCATGGCGGCTTTTTATCAGCGCACACGCACACACACACACACACATATGCTCCCCAAATTTGGAGTTGAGGTTCGGAGGGGATACTTTCTTTCACTACCTTGTCATCTCTCCAGTTGCTCATCCATGCTGCCAACTGAATGGCTGGGGTGTATGTTTATGCTCTACGGTTCCTAAAATGTACTGCCAGTACCTTGACCTTTGGAGAACTAAAATAAAAGATCAGACAAACTCAGCGACAGGGAGATGTTTACTGAGCATTTGAGATTTTCACCCTCTCCTGGGGACACCAAAACAAGGCACTTCTCCCCTTGTTCTTTGATTTAGCTATCTGTCCTTGTTTAAAGGAATTCAGTACTTTCCATGCACACAATGAATTCATCTTTGTTGATCAATGTTATGCTTAAAAACAACAACAAAGGAAATGAACAACAAACAGTTTTCACAAGTGTTCTTGATAAAGACAGCAGCTACAGAGGATGGGGTGGAACCCCCTCAACAGAATTGTATTAGACTTGATGGGAGAAACAGATCTTTTAAACAGCAGTATTTTGAAGTGAGCATCAGGCGGAACTAGTCTGGTGTAAAGAGATTTTACCAAGCCACTAAAAGTAACAGTGCAATTTTAAAGCATGTCTATTTGATGTCCTAATTAAATCAAATTACTTTCCAGGAAGTATGTTGTGAATTGCAGCCTATATTTAATTAAATCACAGTAGAATAAACAAAGTATCTCTTTATCCTCTCAGAGTAATTTTTAATCTTCAAGAATTAATTTCTGAGCATAAAAACAGTGCATTCAAGACTAAAGCTATACCTTCAAGAACCCAAACTTGCTGCAGAAATCAGCACCTTTCCTTGAATTCTCCCTTCCCCCTTGGTAAGAAAAACAGAAGAACTTGAGTAAATTCATCTTCTAGCACAGGGGTGTCAAATTTGATTTCATTGAGGGCCGCATCAGGGTTGTGTTTGATCTCAGGATCTGACATGCGCATGGCCAGGGTGGGCCTGGCCAGCTTGTCTTTACTTGTGCCTGTGGTAGCCTGAGCACTCTGCCAGCAAAACTGGGCTCCTGAGCTCCATTTTCAGCTGTGACGGCCTCCTGCAACCCTCTGCCAGCAAAAATGGAGCTCGGGTGGCCACCCTGGATGCCATTTTTGGCTGCTATGACCTCCTGCAGCCCTCTGCCAGAAAAAAATGGAGCTTCATTTTTGCTGGCAGAGGGCTACAGGAAGCCATCATAGCCAAAAACAGGGCCTGAGAGGTCCACGTACGGCCCTCCCAACCTCAGTTTTCACTGGCAAGAGGCACCAGAGTTTCCAGGGCAGCTCTGCAGGCCAGATCTGAGCACCCCAAGGGGAGCATCCAGCCCCTGGGCCTTGAATTTGACACCCCTGTTCTAGCAACTCCAACCAAAATAGTAATAGATGATTTTATTTATTTCATTTGTCAATCTCCTACAAGATAATAGGTATAAGTATAAACATATACTTATACTATAAACATAGTTATGAATACATGAAATGGATACATATAAGAAAAATAAAAAAACCCAATAGGACAGGGACGGTAGGCACGTTGTGCACTTATGCACGCCCCCTACAGACCTCTTAGGAAAGGGGTGAGATCAATAGTAGACAGTCTAAGGTTAAAGTTTTTGAGGTTTGGGGAAGAAACCAGTCAGGTAGAGTATTCCAGACATTGATCACTCTGTCGCTGTATTTCCTACAATCAAGTTTGGTGCGGTTAACCTTGAGTTTGTATTTATTGTGTGCTCTTGTGTTGTTATGGTTGAAGCTGAAGTATTCATTGACAGATAAGTTATTGCAATGTATGATTTTATACACTATACTTAGATTGGACCGAAGGCGGTGTAGTTCTAGGTTTTCTAGGTGTAGAGTTTCAAGTCTGGTGGCATAAGGTATTCTGCAATGAGTAGAGGAGTGGAGAACTCTTCTTGTGAAATATTTCTGGACTTTCTCAACTGTGTTAATAATATCAGTTACGTAATGTGGTTTCCAGACTGATGAGCTGTATTCAAGTATTGGTCTAGCAAATGTTTTGTATGCTCTAGTTAGTAGTGTGATATTACTAGAGAAAAAACTACGTAGGATTAGGTTAACAACTCTTAATGCCTTTTTGGCTATGTAGTTACAGTGGGCTCTAGCACTTAGATCATTAGAGATGAGTACTCCAAGATCCTTGACAGAGTTTGGATCATCAACAAGGTCTTGACTATTCAGCTTGTATTTTATTAGTGACAACTGGAAGGCACAAAGCCCCTCCAATCCTGCAGTAATGCCTAATACAATTTCCCCGAATCCTGACATCACTGTAATTTGTCTCTCCTTGCTTTTTCAGAAGTGGTTAATGATATGGAATAGAAGCCAAGGAGTGCACATTATCAGGAAAATGAAAAGTTGAATAAATCGTAAGAGGAAGAAAATAGGATTATCTTTTAAATGATGTTATAATTCTGTATAATAGTGTTTCTCTCTCTTTTTTATTCAGAAACCAGGGTTCTAGTCCTGCCTTAGGCTCAGGGGATTAACCCCTGCCTTGGGTCAATCACTTTCTCTCAGCCCCAGGTAGGAGACAATGACAAACCACTTCTGATAACCATGCCAAGAAAACTGAAAGGACTTGTCAAAGGCCATCTCTGAGAATCAGACATGATTGAATGAAAAAAAAAAGTATAGTGAACAAATATGTGAATAGGCAGAGGAGGACCTAGATAATGGGAAAGGAGAACATACTAACTGCTTAACTTTCTTGGCACCTGGAACAAACATTAGTGAAAAACTGCACAAAAGAAATAAGTTTTACGTGTATATAAAATGATTCTTCCAACACCAGAAATACTTTTTTCAATTACAATATTTTTCGAACAAATGTTTATTTTCAAGAACACATGCTAGTCATACAGACTCAATAAAGGCACTTTGTCAAATGTCACCATAGAAGCATATGACAAGTCATGTGATCTATACATTTCAGTGATGATAAATATGAAGTGGTTGCATTGAAGCTGACAACTAGAATGAGGAAATAATGCAAATCTTGGCTGTTGAGTGTGTTGACAAATGAAAGAAAAAAGCAGACAATGTACAAGGTAACAATACACAAACATTTTAATGATTTGGTTTTGATAAGAATGCAAATATAGTGGAATGTTCTGTAAAGGCAGTTTTAGGATAACTTGAGCCATTGGATGCTTACTTAAGGATTATCTTTTCAGAAAGGCTATGATCCAGGCATAATTAAATAATGAAGTATTAATAAGTGATGCGAGATCTGTAATAACTTATTTGAACATTGTTCCCTAACAATATTCAACTTCAAAATTTGTTCTATACTTATGTTCTATGTTTTCATACTAAGGAGATATAATGTTTGTAATATATCCTTTTCCAAATAATCCCCAGAAAAACCTTGTGATGAAGGTTGTAAGCTGAGTAATAATGACTGGTTCCAAGTCACCCAATGAGTTTCTGTGGTTGAAGGTAGACATTAATTTGGGGCCGTCTTTTTCTAAATTAGCATTCTAGCAATTAGATTACTATGGTTAAGTTGATTCTACACAGTATTTTATAATAGTTAAAAATTAACTTCCATCCAAGTTTTCTAAGTTGAATAAAAACGGATCCATTAGAACTGTGGTCGAAGTAATTCAGAAATTAATAACACATTCTTCCAGGATTGTTTGCTTCACTTTGATCCCAGT